CATTCGTCAGGCTTTGTGCAGCAATACCGGGCGCTCATTTGGACGGCAGATAGACGAGCAGCGGCGCGCCGGCGACGACCGGCGCCGATACCGACGCGGCCACAGCCAGCGGTGTGATACCGCGCGAGGGCGGTCCTCTAGCGCTGATAGTGCGCCGTCGGTGGGTGGCCGGGAAAGGGCGTCGTCTGATTTGACCGTTAGTGGACGTGGCGGATGATGGCGCTGTGCATATTCGATCTGAATACTCAACCCTGTAGTTGCTGGTGTAGTTCACCACCCGCCAACACTCACCACCTACTGGAAGGGGACAGGGCGTTAAATGCTGCAGTCAATGCTTTTGAACCAATGATCACAGCGACATAGACTACTTGGTTAACGCAAGCTTGTGTCGACGTGATTCTTGATTCTGGTCCTAGCATAATGGATCCATACATAAATATAATATATGCTTGTGTGAACACATCCATACTGTTAACTCAGATAAAACGTGTGCTTTTTGCCAAGGATTTCTCAATTGCTTTTATGAATACATATATAAAACAATACAACATTCTGAACGGGCCTATGTAGTCACTGCCCGAATTCAGCTTATCACCCCGAAAATCTCATTATAGCCACACTGGCCACACCATAACATTGCTGCTACATACGAGCAGCGCTTGCGTTGACAATATCATAACTTCGTTCGACGTCAACTTTCTGATTGGCTTTGTGAGAGCCATGATAGAAAAACGTGACGAACTTGAATGGCAAGGCTAGCTGAAGGATACGGAGGATACCTATGAATTGGATTGCTACGTTAACACTTTCCTTTCGGCTGTTTGCTGATAAAGATGTGTCTTTGTGTGTTTTATGAAGCACCCCGGTCTGTTATGGCAGCCGTTACCGCCAACCTTTCTAAATGTATATGAAAGATCCAGCCACCTTCCTCCTCTCTCACTACCAAACGTGTAACTCGACATCTACCGCTGCTGTTCGTATTCTTCAACATGCCGGTGCTTTAGCTCGTCCTCTTAAAATGGTGTTCGTGAGGAAGTGCCTCACGTCTCTCGCCAAGGAATTGTTCTAAAACGGTCAGCCTTTAGGGAAAGTCTGCTCACATGTTGTCATGAAAGCAGCAGCAGTTCTGTTGCGCTGGGCACCTGGGGTCAAAGTCGTCTGTAGGCCACGAAGTGGTTCAAGTCTCGCTTGATTGACGGAATCAACATGCCAGGGGCTGCTGCAGATGCTGTTGACTGGAGGCCCCTCGAGCTCTGAGTAGCAGCGTTATCTCCTTCTCATAATTGCCGTAGTGACAGAGTATTTCACATGGTATATGAAGCAATTTAATAGAAACACTTCTGTAGGTACATCACCACTGCCCTCAGGCCTTGGGGACAAATCATGATGATTATGGTCGTGAATCATGTACCTTATTATCACCCAATTATAAATTCAGTGGAGGAGATGCCAACATACTTCTTGTCCGAATAGGTCCGCAAGTGCTTTCTTATGAAATGCTACGTTAAGTTTTTATTTCATATGATACTTTTTAACTTTTGCTCTGGACTTGTATCCACCATTTTAGGATAAAGTATGACGCCGATACTGTACTCGTATATACGTAATGTATGCTGCAGTGTACCGTCATTTCAGCTGCGTTTGCTACAATCGTGTCATCTCCTTATATCATGTATCATGTACTCATCGTCGAAAGGCGCCCGTAGAATTACCGAGCTGCATCTTCAGCTTAGGTGTGTTCCATCTACTTAAAGTAGAGGCGACCTAGTCTACTTACGAGTAGAAGTGACCTCTGTTGCTGGGCTGGAGACATGGCTGGATGTATACGAAGTTCCTGGTATTCCTACGGCTGGCTTCCCGCCTGTCGTGTAGTACGCGCCTTCAAGCGAAATAAACCGCTTGTATGCCGTGAAACAAAGCGTTCACTTGAGACCATCAACGCAAGGGAAGCGCGCTGTCTGCCGCCGAGCATCGCTGGGCCCGAATGGTGTCCGCCGGCGCATCTCGGCCCGGCGAATCGCGGGCCTGCTAATCAGGACTGGCTCGTGCGAGCTGATGGAACTTTTCCCGGCCGGAACCTAACTTGGGTTGATCAGCGGCGCGTCCTGTTCCCGTCCGCTCTCATCAGGCCGACGCTAAAACGGCCGGCGAGCCGCTAATGCCCTGCCGTGGTAGCTCGCGGACGTTCCGGTTCATCAGTCCGCCGTACCACCCTGCGCCCTCTCGCTCTCTACCTCTCACCCTCGGGTGGTCCTCCCTGCCCCCGCGGTGACACTCGTGCAGCGGAGTATGCCGCCGCCGCCGGCGTCGCTCGTCGCGCGGCTCGTAATTTGATCAGACCGAGCCGATGGCCAATAGGGGCGGGGTGAGAGTCGGGTCGTCGCCGGCGACGGCGGCGACGGGGGTGGCTGGGGGAGGGGGGGGGGGGAGTACGTCTCAGGTGGCGGCGACGGCTGCCAACTTTCCGCCTGGACTGGCGCCGCTCGCGGGGGCCTCCCCCGCCGCTGCGCTGGCTCCAGCTGACCACGGGGAAAGGTCAGATCGGCACTGGGGTACGGCACGACGCCGCGGGGCACCCAGCGGAAAGGGATTCCGGGGAGCTTTGAACGCAGCAACAGAGACCATAAAGTTCGCTCTCACCAAGGGGTTTGTAATATGAAACTGAACAGCACCATGGCAGGTGGCGTGTTGCAGGAATATGTGTCATATACCTACGGTTTTACGGTTTATGTCATATACTACGGTTTTGCAGTTTATAGTTGTCAGTCAAGTTCCTTTTGTGGCACTTTGACTGAGTGAAAAATCATTGCTTTGGTACATGATTGGAGCTGAAAATTTGTTCCTTTGTTCTACATAGTGATGTTGGATACAAACCGGATGTTGCTATCCTGTAACTATCCACTCTGCCTCATACCGGTATGAGGTGGAGACAAGACACCGCCCATGTCTTGTGGACTAAGATGCGGTGCTGTCACGTGCCACAAGGGCGTTGTATGCTGCGTTGGGTGTCTTCACCAGTCCTCAGCCCCCGACACTAACGTCCCCAGACCCTACTTCATGGACCCCGGCTCCAGCCTCCCCAGTCCCCAACACCAGCTGCGGCTCCAGCCTCTCCAGGGTGTGGCTCCAACCTCCCGTCTCCAGCCTCCCATCGCCAGCCGTGGCTCCAGCCTCTAGCTTCCCCCGGCGCCAGCCGTCGCTCCCGCCTCTATAGCCTCCCCCGCGCGGCGCCAGCTGTGGCTCCCGCCTCTATAGCCTCCCCCGCGGCGCCAGCCGTGGCTCCAGACTCCAGCCTCCCAGTCGTCGCCAGCCGTGCGAGTGGCCCGTTTGTTCCGCGTCGTGCTCGACGCGCGGCCTCCCCACCGCCGTATGTTGGCCGTACAAACAAGGCGCTCTTCCTGCGTGACTCGCCGGCGACGGCAACAAACAGAGCAGGCTGTCGGGCGTCGGTCCGGCTGTCGGACGCGCCCACCGCCGCCGGCAGCTGCACCGTTCGCCCCCGCCGCCGCGCCACTGCACTGTCGCCGCTGCGCCGCGCTTGCCGCCGAGCCGCAGAAACTGTAGCGATTTACCGAGAATCGCCGCCGATATTTTTACGAGCTCTTTAAGCGGCGGCGCGGCGGCCATTGCCACCGTCCCGCGGGGCCGCTAGTATTCCGGTCCCGCCGGCGGCTCTAGATGACGCGCCGCGATGAAAAATTCACTCATTCGAGGATTAGTCGCTAAGCTGCAATGAATAGAAAGCAGGATATTGGCTGGCGCCGTTATAGCCCCTGAGTGGATGCCTCGAGCCGGAGGGAGGGGGCGGCCGCTCTGTGTGCTTATGGAAGATCAGCCAGTGTATGGCAGCTGTTTCGCCGAGTCCGAGCTCCGTTCTAGGCGACTGAATATGAAGGCCTTCCGGACTGGCTGACTGCGGAGCTCCATGGATAGTTTACTCCTCCGGCTCCGGGAAAGTCTTGTTCACTGTCGTGCTTTGTGATGCATGGCTACAAGGGCCGGCCTGCAGCGGCCGGTTCGGTACGGAGGCGGAGCGGAAGACCGTTCATATGGAGGTCGTTGCGGCGCTGGATACCCAACCCGTTTATGGCTTAGCCCGACTAGACCCGGGCCCTCCCACTGAAACATTAGCAATAAATCCCGACGGAGGAGAGCGCTCTCAATAGAAACGAGACCCGCAATCAGCCATTACGGTAATCGAAAATTTATGGACGGCCCAGTGCAAGGGAGAGGCCGACGTTCACGGCGGAAACATTATTGTTTGATAATCTGGCCTGAAATAAGAGTGCAGTTTCACTGGCGATGTTTTATTTCCAGCGCTTCTGTTTTATTCATGTTGCTATTTTGAAAGGCTGAAATGTTGCTGTTTCGCATAAAGACCTTCGCAAAAAAGTTAGCGCGTGTAGGTACTATTTGACCAAATACAGTCATGAGTCAACAAGTTCTTTAGCCACATGAATGTGATGCGTGTTTTCACTTTTCCCGTATCGCCATCCCTCCATTTTCAGTTTCTTCCGCGACGTTTTCTCGGCTACGAGACGACGAGAATAACGTTGCTGTGATATCCCGACTTGTTGCCAAGGGGTCGGGTGGCGGCCCGCTGCGCCGCGCCCACTGCCCCTGGACACGTGTCAAGGTCACCCTGCCTGGGGCTCGGTGGGAGGTGGGAGGGGTGGGGTGGGCAGTGTGCCAGCGGGGGCAGACCGAATACAGCCACCGCCACACCGCATTGCTGCCAGCACTGTTTTCCGCGCGTGATAAGGTATGAGTGTCACTATAGAGATAGTGATTCTAAAACTATCCCCGAGCTGGAAGCCTCATCTGTTTTCGAAAGAAATTAAATATGCGATCTTATGATGGATATGCAATATGCATGTTAACCGCACACGGCACAAGCCTAACAAGTAACACGACTGCAGCATTGCTTTCACTGAGCCGGTCGATAATTGTCACACCCATCGAGCTGGCTGCCCTGACGTTTTTGTGTGTCTGTGTTGCAGGTTGTGCCTTTCTCACCTACTGTGCCAAGGAGAGCGCTGTGCTCGCGCAGAAGTCGCTGCATGAGAAGCGCACACTGCCCGGGGTGAGTACTCGCGCCTCCCAAACGGCGACGGCATGGATGTGTATCACTGTATGAATGTGTGCATGGCTGCGGACTGGCAGCATTGAGTATGTAAGACTTTTTAAAACATTTTCTGATGGAAAACGACACCAATACTAATACCTATAATGCTATATCAGACGAAGTGACGTGACGAATTGAAAAGATGCTTCGCACATGGAGGTACTCGTATTTCAGTTATCTGAGCCCTGTTCGGGTCCGCGCAAAATATTTTGCTGAGTGTGAAGTCACACATACGATGATGTCAGCCGCCTGGCTCCGCCCATGCTCCGCCCCCTCTCCGCCGGGCCGCAAAGCCGAGGGCCACACGACACGCGGCGAACCGTGGCGCGGATGGACTGGTGTGTTTCGTTCAATCACTGAGTAAAATGCGTTCAAATGTGGTTAATAGCAATGTGCCACTGAAAAGAAAGATAATGATACCAAAATAACACCTTACTAACCACTTACAATAAGAAATATATGAGGGTAAACTTTAATCCGCGCCACTTTCGCCTCCTGCAGCTACTATTTTCTTCTTGCGCAAAACTGAAAGATTTTGCGCGAGCCTACGTCACACGTGTGACGTCATACGCCGAAGGGCGGAGCTTGGCACCCGAGAGACCCCAACTGCGCATGCGTGGTGCAAAATTTTGCAATAGGATGCGCTGCCCGAACAGGGCTCTGAAAACCATAATCTGGAAGCATGGCGCCCTGCATTTTCATTTGCGCTCGTTGACGCTTATGAAGAATAATGGAATCAAACATGAGGCTCTGGCATAATTGTTTTTCATCTCGACCTGAGCTTCCAGCGGTTCTGAGGCGCGCCATGCATTGACACGTCACCGAAGGTTCCATTTATGGAGGCACTTCTCACACTTCAGTTCTCGCTCAAAATCTGGCGCTTACGCTTCTGACAATATTTTCTATTGTGACGGAAGGCACGACCGACCTGATGGGCCTGCGACACATGGGGCACGACTTGCCACCCCGATCGTGCGCTGACTGCAGGCAGGCGGCGCAGAAGGTGTGGCCACAGCCGAGGGTGGTGGCCCTGCTGAACGTCTCCAGACAGATGGGGCACTGCAGGTCCACCAGGAGGCCCTCGGCAGGCGGCGCGGCCCGGTCCGGCCGGCCGGCGGCAGTCACCGCCTTCTGGCTCCCGAGGGCGCTGTTCGCGGTGTCGTCTCGGCTCTGGAAACAGATCTCGGTTCAGCCGACCCTGTCGAGTTGTACCTGCATCAGTGCAGTCGACTGGCCGCGCCCCATGGGACGGGAAGACAGCAGTAGCTCAGTTCAGAGGGCGAGTGATTGCGGGGCAGACCGACGGTTGAAGTTTTGAGCTGGCTGCTATTTCTGATCACACAGTCTGACTGCATAGTTTTATCCGCCATGGATTGCTAGACAGACACGTTCTTTACCATCCAACCAAAACTTAATTGAAGCTCGAGTACCGGTGATACGGACGCACATCTGGCCTACGGTGCCCAAATGGTGCAAAAGCGTGAATAACGCAAAATAACGCTCATAAATTGGGGAGTTTGCCCTTTATAGGTCCCTTATCACATACTAAGGAAAGTAAAAGCTACCTTCGAGTCGTATTATGCATTCCACCCATGGACAGTGGCGTTATGAATTTTGTCCGGGTCCCATGAACATCAATCAATCAATCAATCAATTTTATTTAACATCCCATAGGCGGCGGAACGATTTGAGACAAGGGGGGGCACCATGGCTCAAGGAGCCAAACCTAGGGTACCCCCAAATCCTGTTTTCTCATCGGATTTAGGCCACTTATTTTTCGTCACAGCCCTGACACGATGATTTTTTTTATTTTTTTTTACTAAACGAAAATGGCAGTTCACCCCCGTATGCAGGGGTGTACCTAATTTTATATCTCTTTGTGGGGGCATATGCACCCACAATCCTGAATTATGCCCCCACAATGATGAAAAAGCACCCACAAGTCTTTTACAAGGCTGCAAGCGTCCTTTCGAGAGCACGGTGCCCTTCGCATGCTCTAACGGCGTCCTCCTGACCGTCTCGCGTTCATGTACCGGGGTTACATGAGCAAGTAAATGCGTATCAGGAACGGATTTTCCTATTCGCTCACCATTGTAGTCCGTTTGTAATGCGTATTAACTCTGCTCATGTAACCCCGAGCATGGATAGCGTTTTTAATCATCACTCGGCGCCCTTCTGGGAGAATGGCGCACTTTTGACAGCACCGCGCCATTCTCATGGTCTAACGGCGCCCTCCTGACCGTCTCGCGTCCTTAGGTCTCTGTTCGCCGTGCATCCCTCGACTATTCGGCGCCCTTCTGGCCTCTCAGCGCCCCTGAACCACATATAGCGTTTTCAATCACTCGGCACCCTTTTACGAGAATGGCGCCCTTTTCATGATCTCAAGGCGCCCTCGTAACCATCTGGCGCCCCCACGTCCCCACCAACGTAGCACTACTGACTGTGCGGTGCCCTTCTGGCCTCTTAGCGCCCCTAGACCACATAGCGTTTTCAATCACTCGGCGCCCTCCTAAGAGAATGGCGCCCTTTTCATCGTCTCACGGCGCCCTCGTAAGTCGTAACCGTCTGGCGCCTCCACATTTGGTGCCCCTCCTACTGGATGGCGCCTCTCTACATATTTTTACGTCCTTCCGGTCAGTTTCCACTTTTAAGCGTGTATTTGCTTAGTCAGACACGTCACTTGAAGCGCCATTCGGCTAGCAATGTTATCAAATTCGGTGTTAATTTAGGCTCCCACATAAAGAATATCTATCGCGCCCCAAAACGGCCTGGCGCCGGGCGCCCCTACAGCTGGGCACCCACAATCATTTTAGGAAAATTACACCCCTGCCCGTATGTGTGGTTAACTTTAAGCTGATCCTCAAGTACCTATGTGTTTGTCTCTTCCTTATTGTCGTTTGATAAATTCCATTTATCCTACATGTATAATTCCCAAGAAGCCATCGCAGTACTAATCAGTGGCGAATCCCAGGGTGGAGGTCACATGTGTCATGACTTAGGGCCTGGGGTCACCACATGGCTGCCAGGAGCACCACAGGCCTGACAGCCGACAGGGGCACCACAGGCCCGCCAGGGGTGCCAAAGGCCTAGCAGGGGCACCACGGGCCTGTCAGTGGCACCACAGGCCTGTCAGGAGCACCATCGGCCTAGCAAAAGCACTACAGGTCTTCCAGGGGCACCACAGACCTGCCAGGGGCACCAGAGGCCTGTCAGGGACACTATCGGCTTCGCAGGGGAACCACCGGCTTTGCAAGGGCACCATGGGCCTGTCAAGGGCACCACAAGCCTGTCGTTGGCAATTTAGGATTGTCAGAGGCACCACAAACCTGTCAAGGGCACCTACGTTCTAACAGGGGCACCACAAACCTGCCAAGGCCCAGGGACACCACAGGCCTAGCAAGGACACCACAGGCCTGTCAGGGGCACCCCATGGGCACCTAAGTCATGTCAGGGCCCACCGTAGGCTTGTCAGGGGGCAGGGTAGGTAGGTACCACAGTCTTTCTAGGGGCACCAGCGGCTTAGCAGGGGCACCAGTCATCACATGACTAACCAAAAATAAAGAAAAAAATGAAAATAGGGCACCACCAAAATTAAGTGGCCGAAATCCGTTGAGGTTTTAATTTTGGGCATAGGTAGGGGCACCACTTCGATTCATGAACCTCCCCTTTCCCGAATTTCCCGAGTTTTCCCGAATCCGCCCCTGGTACTAATACATCAAATTTAAGGGGGGGCACCTTGCTATTGGTGCCCCCCTTGCAGAATCCAAGGGGGGGCACGGTGCCCCGGTGCCCCCCCCGTTCCGCCGCCTATGTAACATCCCATCATATAGGGACAAAGTATATTGGCATGATAATAAAGATGACAAAAGTCATGCATTTTATGCGCATTATACCTACAAGAGTAATGTCCTAGAAAAACACTGGCGCTCAAATTTCGTATAAAATGTGGTTTTGTTCCTTACCTTAACCATTCTGAAGTATCTCCCGAAGACTTGATGCCTAACACGATAACAGACGAAGAGAATGGGAAGGGAAACAAAGGTGAGAGGCCTGTAGTTTGTAGGTGGAGCGGGTGGAGGAGATGAGAAGAAGATTATATATGTCAAAAGACATATGGTGAGGAATAGGGAAAGTGATATGAATACCAGGAAATGATAGAAACATAACCGTCTTAGAAGGTAGATAGTGGCAGAAGCAAAGAGAATAAGGCATAATGTGAAGATACAAGTCCTCCAGGATGGGGTTGGAGGAGGAGGAGAGAAGACGGGAAGAAGGTGGATGAATACTGTGCCAAGGATAGAAACACATAAGGCCAGGAAAAATAACAGCTTTGCTTTAGTCATTTTCGTAGTCCACGTCTTCGATGGCCTTCTGCAGACAATTCAATTTAGATTACTTCATTTTTGCAATGTGTACGACGCAAGCTGCTCCTTAGTCCTTTATCACACTGCGTTTTGTAGACAGTTGCTATGCACATCTCGAGGAATGTCTAAAGCCAAGCAATATGAAGGCTTGTGGTAACACTTCAATGCTTGAACGTCACATGCAGTGAGCCAATTTCGGTGCAAGATCATCGCTTTTTACCACAACCCAACCACTTGGCATGCTTCTTAGAGAAATGAAGGAATAGACCTTACGGTAATCTTGCTCTCAACTATCCTTGAATTGGTATGCAATCTGCCGAAATCGCTACGCTACCTCAAATTCAGACCTCAAATCCAAGCCTCAAATCACCGAAATCCATTTTAACTCATGTTTCAATAAAAGGCCTTGAACAGAACGGACAGCGGTCCTCAGTGAGCAGCTCTCTACATTCCAAGACGGTAGTGCGTGCACTGGTTCCAATAGCTCCTCAACGATAAATATCCAGACAGTGTCAGTTCAGGCAGCACTCTTGCAGCTAAGAAGTCCTAAAGTTTTGAAATCAAGGCACATCGCACATCGAATAGCAGTTGTGGATTGGCACCGGCGAGGATGCATTTGTAGGATGATTTGGACGGAAAATTGCAATTTCCGCGGTAGTAAACATATATTATTGGTTCAAGTGCTTAGAAATTTCCATTTAAAACTACCTACGTTTATGTTGAGCCATGTTGAGCAAATCTGCGTCAAAAATTAGCATACGTTTCGGTACTGTTCTAGCCCATGGAATATCTCGCTGTTGAACTTCACGAGATACTATTCCGAAGAAACGCCCCGATGCCCACACATGTTGGTGTGGCGAAGCGCCATTTCCCATTTTATTGGAGAGTAAGCTGGCTTGTTTCGTATTATTGGAGTCGAGTTTGACCTAACCGCTCCATAAGTGTCGCTATTAAATGTCGGTGGAGCACAGGGGAAATGGCTGGTATTAAGTGCTCGAAACCCCATCTTGTCCTATGAAACTTGATCATCTGTTGGCCGTCATTGTTGGACTTCGGCCGCCTGCTCGCATCGTATATAGTGGTTCTGCCAATAGCAGCAGATTTGTTCAGAGAAATCACATGTGGTGTTGGGTAATCAAACTATTCCTGTGGAAAAACTTTTGCGTGTTTTGTTGAATAGGATTGAGAATCCCAGTCAACCATTTTATAACCAGGAGTGTTTCAGAGGCATGCTTGATGAAACCGTATCAATGAGGCTTATGAGTCTGCACAGGAAATGTGGCTTTGGTTGCAGCATGATGGACCAGACCCTGAAAGTCGCTGGTTTCGCTGCGACGTTCAGAGCAACCGTGTATCGTGTCAACAACGGCGCGTGTCAAGTCACAGGCTTGAAGACCAATGAACCACTTAATGAGCAAATCTGTACTTTGTACACAAAGCATAAAGAACATACAAAGGGCGATAAGAATCAAAACAAGCTTTATTTATAGTTTGTATTTGCACTTCCCCTGCAATGGACTGACCGCATACATCATGCACTATCTACATATATGCTTTGCTCTATCCACCCTTTCCCGCCCATTTGCCGGACCTTAACTCTTCCCCTTTTTACTGTCTGACCTCCACCCTTCTCTCCTTTCTCTCGCCACCCACAATCGCTGTCGGTTTGCTTGATGACTCCCACGGGGAGATCTGAGCTGCTCTGTTTGTTTGGTGACCGTCTCACTTTTCGCCAGACTACTAAAACTTGTGTTTATCTTTTCTTTCTTCCTATCAGCGGCCAGTTAGGATCGTTTTCATTGTCTTTTTTATACCCGGGACGGATAGACATGTTTAGATTGACAGCCCTCAAAGGGGTTGTATGGCTGAACTGTTGTCCGCTGGTTTGGTTTTATTGTTTGTATTATTGTTCGCTGTCATTGTGGGTTAAACGGCTTCGGTTGGGTTTGTGACTGCAGTTTTATCCACAAATTTGGCGCCCTAATCAGTGGACAGTATTCAAACATCTTCGTCTGTCCTGAGTTCGCACGACATGGGCAGCTCACCTGGTTGACCATGATCTGTACTTTTCCTCCGGGTTCCGATGGCTTTTGCTCGTCGCATCGCTCCCGATATTTATCCTTTCGCGACCGTGATCTCATGATGAAATCTCGATCGGTGATGGAGGGATTTCATCAGGGACCTTTCTGCTTATGCGTTTAGATGTAAAAGAGAACAAATACATAGCCTCCTACAGAATCATCTGAACTCGTGATCCCGCGTTCACAAATTTCACCGCTCTGAAAATGGACGCTGTTAGCGGTAGTTTCAACGGGCGCTGACTCAGACATACGACCATTTGGAACTGAGTTGGATCTCTCGTGTTTGCAGCCATTAGGTCTAATGTGAGCATCTGTCCGCTCCCAGGCTTGCAGAGCTGAACAGCGCCACCGTTTCATTCTTCCTTGCGTAACGTCCGGGTTTGTATAAGGTGAACACTGAAGAAGTGAACACTGAACACATAACGAAATACTTGCGATTTTCGTGCGTAAGCAAGGCTGTTTTAGGCTTATCTAAATTTATAGCCAATGACACGCCATTTATTCTTATTCACTCGTTCAGCAAATCGCCCTGCACCAAATCGGATGCTCGACGCAAATTGACTTGCCAAATGTCCTGTGATAACGCAAGCATATTAAGTTGGCAGTTAGGTATCACTGTTTCAATTACAGTTTCAGAATCTCCTAGGAGTGAGATGGTTTCACTATTGTCGTCGTCAATAGACGAAGAGGAGAGGGCTGGGAAAAGGAGCAGGAACCCTCTCGTAAATGGGCACATAATGGCCCGTTGGATGAAAAGGTTAATAACAAAAATACTTCGACCAGCCACTACAAGAAATTGCCAGGTATTCCTAGGGTGTGTATTTTAAAATGCTACCATTTTCAGCGAACCTATTCTCACTCAAGAGACGTTTGTCTGACGTCCACATGCCCCTTTTCACGGCTAGACCCCCTGGCCAGCGCTGAACATTTTTCCGGAGACACGTCTCACTTTTATGTTCTGCTACGAAGGACATTCGTTAACAGCCGTACCATATTCTGAGGGGAACCGGGCCCTGCAAACGGCTCTGAGCCCCGAGCAGTTACATCTGCTGTGTGGCGGATCGTCCCTCACGGGAGAGGTTCCCGCTTTCAGCGCCATCTGGTTCAGCCCTGCACCACCGCACTGCCAACGCCATCTCCGCTGGGCGCCCGGCTTCTCTCAGCACCATCTGTGCCAGGGGAGCAGCAGCTAACAGAGACATCTGCCGAGAATAGCGGCAGCTCCACAGATGGGCTCATGAAAGGTGCTCAGCAGCTCTTGTTAAAATTGTCAAGACCATTCGCTTCGTTTAGGCTATAGCCTAAATTTTCAATGCCGCAATTATGCCTGTATGGCATCCAGAGTGAACTGTTGGCTTGGATAGATTGAAGAATCTCACCAGAACATAATGCTGTTTTCATTGTTGAGCATTGAGGAGGTTGATCAAGTTCAAAGTTATCGTACCAAGACCAGTAAAACAGTTGCTCGCAAGACTGGATATTGTTGACAAAGGGTAAAAAGACACTTATGCCAACTGAAGATAATCATTCCTTTTCATATGCTTGTAGTGAACACAACAATGAGCAATGGACATGAGAGAATCGGGACAGATTCATCTTTGATAGGTAGTAGGTAGGGGAGAGCGGGGCCAGTTGAACCACTTTTTATATATTGACATGCACAGCGAGATCTAGTTGGCATATCGAAAAATGCACAATGCCATGAAAAATATGCTCTTTTGGCTTTATTTTAAGATATGTAAAATTATGTTTCAAACATATTTTGCGGCCAAACGCATGCTTATAAAACAGCTCTACGCCCGTTTCAAATGACCCCGATGCGAGGGTCAATTGAACCAGCCCATGGGGTCAATTGCACCTATCCTTAACAATGGGATGTTTTCCTCTTTAAGGCCACTTTCTTAAGGAGATATTTTGTCCGGTTTACTTTTCCAAATGCTTCATTCAATAGGTCGTTGGAAAGCTAAAAGTGCAAAGTTCCTCATAATAGGTGAGATAAAGTACATAGACTATGGTAAAATGGGTGGATGAGGAAAATGAGAAATGTCTCAGGCTATAGTGTGCTTTCAAGCAAAAGGCTGGAGAAAAAGGGGTCAAAAATTGAGCTCTATTAAACTACTATTTCAGTTAAAAATCTCATTACAAAGGTAGACTATTTCCTTTAATGTTTACAGCCCCTGAACAATAACCATTGCAAAGGTCACCGGGGTCCATTGAAACGGCCTGTGACCCTGTTTCAACTGACCCTCAGAGAAGCGTTTCAATTGACCCCATCTGCTCCCGCCATCTCGCACGCGCCGTAAAGCACATGTCAAACGAGCTGGAGGGACGGCATCATGCTGAATGAAGGGCCAAATAAGGTGTTATTCCGGAGCCAGGAGTTCTTCTTTCAGCAAACAAAGGTATATGAGATATCACAAAATATTCATGAAAACGATTTCTTCCAAACGTCCCTCAAAAACACAAAAACAAGTGTCAAATCAAAATTACCGTCCGTTTGCCGCCCAAACGCCGTTGACAAAGGAAGTGGTCGAGCGCGGATGCGCAGTGGTGTCGGCAACGCCATATGTTGCATACTGTTGAAAATAAAGCCATGTTTCATCTGACCCCGTGTTTCAACTGGCCCCGCTCTCCCCTACGGGAACATGTAGGAGTTGATGCAGCAGATTTGTTCATAATGGGATAAATGGCCTGTAACTATTCGTATTATATATATATATATATATATATATATATATATATATATATATATATATATATATATATATATATATATATATATATATATATATATATATATATATATATATATATATATTATATATATATATATATATATATATATATATATATATATATATATATATATATATATATATATATATATATATATATATATATATATATTGATGGTCATTGCTTGTAATGGAAGAGCAATTCATGGTCGAACACCTTTCCTATGGATTATTTTTGTGTCATTGTTAGTGAGCATTTGAAAAATATCACTGACATATTCATAACTATTTCGATGTAGACAAGTTAATAATCACATATTTTAGCCATTACTAACGGACAAGCTAATCTCTTTCCTTTGTAGTCTTACATATGACTCAAGAAGATGGTCTCTAAAAGGAGCATTTAACTGACTTGGCGCTCTGGCTAATAGAGTTTAACTAAGAATGTCACTTGTAGAGAAACTGGCCGGCGGCTCACATATTGAAGGAGGTGCTCGTCAGCGTGTGGGCTTTGATGTAGCCTGGGCCTCGGCCACTTGGGGATCCTTTGATGCCTGGGAAGGCTCAGATTCCCCCCGACAATCATCGCCCATCGGATGCCTTCCTGCGCTTGTAGTCTCCTGTAAATGAATGGAA